TGTCACGTGTACATACTTACATCTCATCAATTTAACCAGGGTTACCTACGGACTAACGCACTCTTGGTCATTCCTTTTTTCTTGTCTTTTTCAATTGGATCATAAGGCCTAGATAATCCGGGGCAGATGTTAGGCTTTTTCTAATTGCTCTGAATTATGAACGGTTTGCGTACAGACGTTCACACACACACGCAACCAGACACACTAAACTATATCTAAATTAACCAAACCCTTCTATATCCATCCTTATCTTAAATTTTGCTCGCAATGAGTATATGTATCGTATAGAACAAAAGCCGATTAGTCTTCTTGACTTAGTGTTAAGTTGATGCCGTTACAAGAATGAGTCCCAGCTCTGATGATGTTCGTCATGTGACATGACGAACGAAAGCTCAGTTCGTCTTTGCCCGAAAGGGTAGAGGATGTCTCGTGGACTGCATCAACCTGAACGTCGTATTACCGCCAAACGACCGAAGTCCAACGCGAATTAGCCGACGTTTTCTGGTGAAATTGACCTACGAATCTCTTCTTTATGTACTTCCATGCGAAATTAAAGTCTTTACATCAATCAAAGGTTTATGTCCTAGGCTTCAACCTAAATTTGTGTAATGCTGGCATTTACTTAATTTGCTTTTACTTCGCCTTCTTCTTACCTCAACCCTGCCAAGCTTTACAAGTTACTTCATCTTTTTTCTTCGTGATCTACTTTTGCTTGAGCCTGCAGACATTTCTCCTAAGCTTTTTCAGTAGATTTTTCGTTGATAGCTGGCAAAAATGTCCCTCACACTTGTTTGAAAACACAAACATTCATATTTGCTATTTGTATGCCAAAATCTCGTTGATTTCTGTTTATAAAAGAATAACTAATAGCCCATAACTATTAAAGCTGCCTAGCCTCCACTTAATTCATTATATTGTAGGATCTTTCACTCATGTGCGGATAAGAGAAATTCACCGAATACTTGATTTCCAAAAGTTTTTTAGCAAAATCCTTTGGAGGTCCAAAGGATGCAAGATTTATGGACATTATTAGATTCCTCCGGTTCTACTGTATTTGACCAGCTTGCATTCCAGCCCTAACTTTGAAAGTACTGGGAGCAGGGCATCCTTTGAAAAATGCCCACACAAAGTTCATCCAAACGGTATCGTTTAAGGTATTTTATCAGCACAATCGCTGGTATCAATTCTTTGGTCCATTGATTGTCTTACTAGGCCATTAGGTTTCTGGTCGGACTCTGTATCGTTTGCATGGTCATGCAAGAACTCCAAATGCACACATGGACGCAAAATTGCTATACACACGCACACTTGACACACGAGCTTTAGGCGACAATTTGACCACAATTTGACCACAATAAGCTGCTACATTTGTGAACTTTGCGCTTGCGCCCACTTGACCGGGCCTTGATAGCAGATACAGTCTCTCCTGGTACGGCCGGAAGACGGTGTAAATGCTCAGCAGTTTGGCGCCGGCCAGTTCCGCGCAACACATCACTCGTCCCCGTCTTCGTTCGAGGTTAGTCCGCTGGAGAGGCGTAGCAAACTGGACTGGGCCAGTCGAGAGGCGTTCGCTCTCAGGTTTCGCGAATCCTTGCCGATGACTGACCACGACGGGGGCCACGGCCTGGCTGGACGTCTTGCTGAGGAGACTGCTTTTGCACATGTTCGCTTTTCGGAACGTGGCCTCCGCGACTGGGGCAAACCTTCTGATACAAGACTCGATCAGCAGACCTCGAGGCTCATTCAGTCCCGGGAGTCAATGGCGCGTCGCCAGCTTGCCTCGGCTCTGAGCGAAGAAGCCATGCTCCGTGTTGAGCGCATGCGACAAGCGGCCGCTTCCGGCCGTCACTCGGACCTCTCTGTACCCCACCTGATCCCGAAGGAGAGGGGAGAGGCAGTCGGTGCTGATTGGCTTTCGAGCCTATCCATTGATCAACGTCTGGTCGGGTCATGCTCGAATTCACTGACAGTACAGGTCTTTTCATTTCCAAGCTGCTGTCATTTTATCTTCTCATGTCTACATATTTCTCTCGTTTCTAATTCTTTTCCCATATACTTATTTATTTCTCTCTCGTTTATCTCGATCTCTTAAACTCCTTTAGCCTCTCATAAGTATGCATAACCGGATTATAACTAAAAGAATAAGTTATTAATATATGTATTCATTTACAAAGTAACCGAAGTGAAATCGAGGTTAAGTTTTAATTGAAGAAC